CATATATATATATATATATTCAAAGCAGAATCCAAAAACTAAAATCATCGAAAAATCTCACAAACGAAAAATGGAAAGTAAATAAAAGCTTCAGTGGCTACAATCGCATTATTTCTATATTTTAAATTTTATATATGTATACATATGTATATAAGAAAGCAAAGTAAATGTAGTGGTTAAAGCAAAGAATAAATTATGTAACCGGTATTGGCTGAAAGAATTGTTGAATATGTTAATCGTATGTCATAAGAATGTGCATGTTTAATTCTCAGTGCATGTATAATTCTCAGAATTTATTAAGGAAAATATTTTATGGCCATAATCTTTTACATAGATTATGTATGCGAATATCGTACGATAAACGCACGTTCTGCAAAATATTGCTGTAAGTGAATTTTTACAACGTAAGCAATTTAGGTTTAAAAAAAGAGTTAAAAAGTGATGAGAATGATTGTTCTTTATTACAACAATTTTTACGATATATATAATGATACAATAAAGATTTATAAGTTCTATGTCCACAACCAAATGGCAAAATTTCTCGCAATTACACATAACATTCGATTACAATATACAATTTCTAATAACATTGTCAGTCGCAGTCCGATTTACATATACAAGACCAAATATACGAGAGTAAGGAAAATAGAAAGACGTCTTCTTGGTCCATTCTAAAGAAATCCCGCATTATTCCTCATGTGGCGAGTGAGGTGTTGTCGCAATGAATAATATATTACAAAAAGGATTTGTTATAATAATAATAATTAGTAACATTTAACACACAATGTACACGATACGTATCGGCTTATATCGTTACGAAAAAGATGTTGCATGGTGTGTAACAAGATTGAAAACTTACAGATATGTAAATATATATACAAAAATTTCTATTGAATTATTATACATTAATATTATTTAAAAGATATAAAATACTTTTCACATTACTTCATTTCCCACACGATAAACATGCATAATATATTTTTCACTGCTTCCGTTGCTTTTGGTCTTATTTTGATTGTCGAGAAATGATATTCAAAGAAAACAGAGATTTCATATCTAAATATATAATTTGTCTCTTTATTTGTCAAACAATTTTACATATAAACGCTGCAAAGAATCTTGGCACTACTTTGGATATAGTAGCATATTATTTTATTATTTGAAGCTAGAGAAATAAGTGTTTGAATTCACGCCTGTAACACTTTCTTTCTTCTAATTTCAGAATAATTTTGGTCGCTTTATAATAAAAACTTTCAACCGAAAACGGTTAAAAGTTGCAAATTTTATTCTGTTCTCCTTATATAATGCAATTATATGAGAAAAATGCTATAATCTGAGAATTGTAACTGTGTTTCGTATGATTAAAGAATATATAAATCGATATGATTTAACGTTATCATCACTTTTTTTTGAAATCACAATGATTGTACGGATTGTAAGATATCTATACATCATTCTGAGATAAGATCATCAATCTTGTACACTGCCATGCTTATCTATAGCAAATGCAAGGCTGGTAGGACAAAATTCCCCCAAAATTTATTAAATACAGCGAAGATTCGTTTTATAAAATTTGCTTCATCGTATATTTTCCTTTTTTTCCCTGTACAACATGGCACGTCCTATCGTACTATTACTTGGTGCATTTACGGGGGGGGGGAGGGGGGAGGGGGTTGCCATTCTGGCGATATATAATTATTGCTTTTGTTCAAGTACTCTCCGTTTTTTACGCTCATGGAGATTTCCGTTTACTACACTAAACTTCGCTAAACTATGTACAAATCGCGTTTCGTATATAAAAATCGAAATAAATTCATGATTCTCGGCGCGGAGCCAATTTTATTACATAGACTCCGTTACAAAGACGATGGCATTAGAGGAGAGAAAAACGCCGTCGAATCTCTTTGCTCCTCTATATTTAAGTAGAGTCGCGTTTGCCCACGTCGCAATCGGCCGGAATTTTGATAATGAGGTGAATTTATTCTCGGCAGTAAAATAGGACAATGCAGGCTTCGCTATCGTAGCTTATTTGTAGGAATAAGAAAAACAGGGAAAGTATTATCACTGCGGTATTTGAGTGTCCTCAGGAGAGAATAAAATAATTCATATCACAGCCAGCGGCATATCGTAGAAATGTTTTGATTCGATTGTAACAATGTTTTTAGCGATAGTACTTCAATTAACCAAGAGTATTGTTACAACATTGTTTTATAAAGGAACCGCTGAACTTTCGTCATTCTGAGCATCTTATAAACGCTAAAATATTTTTAAAAATATTGCTCACTTTCAATGAGAGCTCATATCAAACGTTGATAAAATATTCTAATTGATAAACATTATTGCTATTTTTGATATATTCTACATATAAATCATCATGTAAATTCAAAATTAATTTCAATTTTTTATCCACATCATATAAATAATTTCAGTTGACAATATAGATATTTAATTTTATATTTGTTATAAAATATTTTAATAATATATGAAATTATTCTATGTTTATGAGAAAAAGATCGTAACAATTTGTAAAATGCATTGAGCGATCTCCTGGGATATTTCAAGTATTCCGCTCGATATAAAGAAAGTACATATATGAAATATTTTTGCACCATTAAAGTTTCAATGACGATCACGAATTTTGTTTGGAACTCGTGAGTGGTCGCAGTGTGTAGGCAGCCTTAATTCTTCGATATTTTCCGTTTGTGACGCTATAATTTTTCAATTATAACATTTGATCGCATGAAAATATATTGATCCCTCATTTTCGATCACGTCTATGGAAAGATAGACACCGTCATTCTAAATACTAACTTTCATATGGTGCACAGATATCTTCAAGTCTATAATGAGAAAGCAAGGCCAGCTTAAAGCTATAAAAGTCAGCGTAATTACAGAAGACTTATCACGACTTTTAATAATGGAGACAAATGTAGAGCAGCTTTATTCAACAAGTTATTCTCATTTGTCATTTTCAATTATCTACGTGTATGAACAAAACCTCATTTTTCAACCAGGAGGAATTCAAAATACTTTAAACTGGCCCCGTAGAGAAACTATTAAGCAGAGACTTTGGACGCTGTCGCTGCGAATTAAGTTCTGGGGTATCCTTGCTCCCTCGAGGAGCTAATGCGAAAAGTGATTTATTTACAAGCCACGACAAATGGCACATTAAGAATATCTTTGCACTACTAATTCGCGAACATTGCCGTTGCGCGATCCCCATTTTCAATGCGTAGTCTCTTTTCTTTTCTCGTTTTACTTATATCACGTAATACGCACAAGTCTCTTAGCTTATGTCTAATCACAATTACACGCGGCACTTGAGCGAAGTGTCTTTTCTAAGTACAGTGGGTCCTCTTCAGTAATTGAGTAACTTCGATGATGCGTTCCAACGCTCATTTTTATCACTTTCTCTTTCAAAGATCGAGTAGTTCGAGTAATCTTCTTTCCCTACACGAGACGAAAGTTTTCTTTCGAAACAATCATTTCTAGTTCGCCCTAGAAATATGAGTTTATTTTATACTCTCAGCAAAATCCATAGAATCACACTGTTGTCTCATTCTTCCTAAATGGTTTCAGTGGTTGCAGTTCTCGTTCCAATCGATCGAAGTCGTTGTAGTACTCATGATCCGACTCCTCTTCAGAACTTCTTTGTCTGACTTGAGACCCGAAAGCGCCGTTCGTTAGAACCTTTTCCAAATCCGGCGTAGGAATGCCCAAGGTCTGCGGCGTGAGCGGGCCCTCGTCCTGTGACATTATGTACTCCGGATTGTCGAGCGACGTCTTCCCTTGAATTGTCAGGAAATCCGGGTACTTTCGGAAACCATTGTTCAGCCGCTTCGATTCGGATTCTAGACAAGATAAAAATAATTTTGACTTTGTAAAATAGGCAATAAGTAACTGAATAGATCAATAATTTAATAGGAAGTGTAAATTAACAATTAGGCACGATATAATTGACACAAAATTTGCAAAAATAAGGATTTATATGTCTATTCTCATTATCACATCGATCAAGTCGAAATAGCGCAAGTAGCAGTAAGAAATTTCCGCTCACCTGTTGGCTTAGATTCCCCGATGAGATCCATATACTGTGTTGTGTTGGCTGGCAGTTGTGGCGACGGCATAAGATAGTCATCCTCGTCTAATGGCAGATCTAGTTTCAAGTTTCCCACCTGAGCCTGCTGATGCGCAGAGCTCACTTTACCGTCGAAACAATCGTCCGTCACATCGCAATCTGAAATTAGTTCATTATTTTTGATTATTAAACTCAGCATTGATGAAATTTTACATCAAATATTAATCTTTATAGAGGGATTGCATTCAATTTCTTATATTTTTAGCATTAACACATATTTGATGCTCACCTCTTACACCAACCATCTTCAACGGATCTGAACAGTATCTCGAACTCGAGTTGTCCGATCCTGCGTGTCCGCAGTGACCGTTGGGATGCGCATAATGCGTGTGCTGGCCG